CATATTTTATATTTTAATCTATTTTCATCTTATGATTCTTGGTGGTGCTGTTGGCTGCCATCTAGTTTATTCCTACTCATATCAAGAACAAGTGACAGGGCAAAGCTGTCCTAAAGGGTATGCCTGGCTGCAATCGTAAAAGTTGTAGATAATTAGGTCTTTTTGCCACAGAGCAGCTAAGGAGGTTCAATATATCAACTTTTTGGTTGTACCACCAGGGTTCCTTATTTTTATATAAAACACAACTCAAGTCACTGTCACTGAGTTGGAACCTACCCATGGCTGACTTTCTAGCAGATCTTCAGAGGCTGTAATTCACAGAAGAGACCGCCCAACTTTCTCCCTTTGTACATCTGTTCAATTCTAACCAATTGCCCGAGAGTGGCAGCAAGACTCTACCCTGTAGGCCACAAGATCTCCCTTATTTTGACATAAGATATAACAAAATCTAAGACAACTTCTTGTCCCACAGTTTTCCCACTTTGCTCATTCAACAATGACTCATGCCTGTTATTTGCCTCTTTATGTAAGAACACATTACATTTTTTTGTAACGTTTTTATTCCATTCTTTATTTATTCTATAACCCAGTCATGTTGTAGCAGAATGCTGGGTGGTGGTTTTGTAAGCTTTACCCTCATGTGGTTAATTTCTAGTTTTATGGCACTGTGGTCTGAGAAGACATTTTGTAGTACTTCAATTTTTATTTTTTTTTTAATTTGCTGACACTTGCATTGTGTTCTAATATATGATCAGTTCTGGAGTATGTACCATGTGCACTAGACAAGAAAATGAACTGAGTTTTAGTTGGATGCAGAACCCTGAATATGTCCACAAGATCAAATTGGCTGATAGTATAGTTTAGATCTTCTGCATCTTCGTTAAGTTTCTTTTGGGTTGAACGCTCCTTTGGTGAGAGTGGTGTGTTAAAATATCTTACCACTTTTGTGGTGCTGTCTATTTCATTCTTCAATTCTCTTGACTATTGTTTTATGTTTTTGCAGGTCTATCATTTGAATTGGAAGACACAGAAGAATTTCATGAAACAACATATGAGCAAGAGCCTATGGTGATGAAAGAAGAAGTTCAGGCTGCTTTGAAGGAAATGGC